CGCCCCGAGCCCGCGCGGATGTGAGGTTCCGGGCTCCTGGCGCCTCGGGATCGCCGGCTGCGGCGCAACGCTGCTGCGCCCTGGGGGCGGCGGCGGCCCGGCTGGCCGCGCGGCTGCGATTGGGGACCGCTGGGCTCCGCGGAGGACCATTTCCTCTCGACATGCATCCCTCCGGGTAGACTGTACATCCCTCCGCCCGCCTCCCGCCCCGCGCGGCTAGAGGCAGGCGCTGGGTGGGCGAAGAGGATCCGGGTAGAGATCTGCGCCCCCGGCGCTCGTCCCCGCCCCGTCCCGCCGCCCCCTCCCCCGCCCGGAGTCGAAATTTCCCGGGATTATGTTTCGGAAAGGTAGGTGAGCGCCGGGCGCCGCGCCCGCTCTGCGCACTGGGACCGAGAGCCCGCGAGGCGGCGAGGCAGCCCCGGGCCAGCGGCGGGGCCGACGCTCGTCCCCTCCCCAGGAGGTGCCCGGCGCAGCAGGGAGAGAGCTCTCCAAACGCGGACGTCTCCCGGCTCTCCCCCTCCCTGCTTTCCGTTAGGAATCCGGCGAGGAAATACATGAATTCGCTGAGGATCGCCGGCGCCGGGGCGCAGCGCCATAAGGTGTAGGGAGCGCCGGGGTGGGGAGAGTGGGCACCCAGGCGTCCCCGTGGCTCGAGCGCCCGCCGTCGGCTCTGCATTCCTGCCCGTGGGGCAGACGGAGTGACCCGGCCCCGCTCCCCGCCCCGACCATGGTAGTGTTCAATGGCCTTCTTAAGATCAAAATCTGTGAGGCCGTGAGCTTGAAGCCCACAGCCTGGTCGCTGCGCCATGCGGTGGGACCCCGGCCGCAGACTTTCCTTCTCGACCCCTACATCGCGCTCAACGTGGACGACTCGCGCATCGGCCAAACGGCCACCAAGCAGAAGACCAACAGCCCAGCCTGGCACGACGAGTTTGTCACCGATGTGTGCAACGGGCGCAAGATCGAGCTGGCTGTCTTTCACGATGCCCCCATCGGCTACGATGACTTCGTGGCCAACTGTACCATCCAGTTCGAGGAGCTGCTGCAGAACGGGAGCCGCCACTTCGAGGACTGGGTGAGTCTGGCCTCTCCGTGGGGCACCTGGGAAAGACTCATATGCTGCCTTGGCGTTGGACATGGGTCATCGAGACAGGGGTTTGCTGTGCGTGCGTGTGTGTGTGTGTGTGTGTGTGTGTGTGTGTGTGAGTGAGGGTGCTTGGAGAGGAACATTTCTCTTGGCAGGTGGGGGAGAGATAGGCATTGGAGGGAGGAAGCTTCGGCCTCTGTCCTCTGCTCTCTTGACTGTGGGTGCTGCAGGGGCTCGCAAGCTGGCAGAGATGCGGGCTGGTGCTGAATGCTGGCGGGGCCCTGGCGCCTTCCGCAGTTGCGTGGTAGTCTAGCTGCTAGTCAGTTTGTGTGCGTGGGTCCCTCTGTCCTTGGAGAGGCACGTGGAGCTCTGACTGAAGGTGTCTTGCGCCTCTTGGCTTTGTCCTGCGTAGCTGAGTGAGGAATAGCTTTATTTTTCTCCTGGGCAGGAAGCTTGCTTGTTTCAGTTCATCTGCAACTTAGCCCATCCTCTGACAGGGAGAGAAAATGTGTTCTTCCTCTGTATGTCCCCTCCAAAGTCTTGGAAATATCAGTCTAGCTCGTTTTGCCCAATTCATTGCTCATCCATGCAGAACTGTTGTATTTTTATAGTTCTCCTTACTGGGTACAGGGAAGGGAGTCAGTGCTTTGAATCTTAAAGTTATGTTGTTTTCCTGTTTTGATTGTCAAGATAATGGGGGATGAAATACTGTTTCTGAGATTGAGTTAATCAGTAATTGATTACATTGTCAAATATCAGAGACTTGGATATAGGCCTTGTCAACATACTGTTAAACAAGTACGGTACATTCATTCAACCTTGACACTTGCACAAGCAGAGAGAAGCAGGCTTTTTAAAAATCTCTTCTTGAAAGGAAGATGTTAAATCAGGAAATGAATTTCTGTGTTTTCAGGTTTGTTATGTGTTCCACCCAGAGTATGCTGCTGTGGATGAATATGTTTGAGATTATTCCATCTTTCTCCAGAAGGAGAAATACCTGCATCTCACGAAAAGATGTAGAGGAATCACTTTCTACGTAAACCTGGATAATGTCGTGAATACCCTGTGGATCTGAGGTTGCCTATGCATCCCCTTGGTGTATACCTTAGGTATTTTTTTTTGAAGGACATGGAGTTTTAGGGAAAATAAGAAAAAAAAAAAAAAAAAAAAGATGCCCATGGCTGTGATGTAGCCTAGCAGAAACCATGGCTCCGGGGCTGAGGGGAGGCTCCCAGTGAACCACACCAGTATAACCCTAGGAGATTTGTGGTTTCCACTTTGGAAAGCAGGCAAGCCTCTGTGACACCCCAGGGCACTCAGTGGCATCCCTCTGCGCATCCCTGGTGTTCCCATCCTCCCCAGTTCCCACTTCTTCCCCATTTCTTCTCAGCATAAGGCCTTTGGTTCTTTGACTTCTGTTAACAGTGAATGTCCTAGCCTAGAGGGAGCTGGAATAACCAATTTCATAACCAGACATCAACACTAAAAACCGAACTCTTGCCTGTGGTAGCAAAGAGATGGGGACTTCTGAATGGTGTAAAGATACGGTGGGCAGTGGCAGAGAGCTGGGGAGAGGGACACAGCAGTGCTGTGTTGAACCACAGGTGTCAGTGGGAGGGAGTGTGTCTGAGTGGTTCTGGTGACACTCAGAATCCTCCCCAGACTCTGTGTATCAGGGTACCACTCGCTCCATTTAGTGCTTGCATGGGAGTATGGAAACGAGGATGCCTTTCTTGGTTATCGTTCTCCAAGGTTCTCAGATTCGTGCTGGATTGGGGCACAGACCAGATCATCTGCTGTACAGGCCAGCGTCGTAACAAGGGCACTGAGTCTCGGAGAAAATAAGTGGATACCCAGGATGGTGTGGCCTGGAAGGCTGGGTTAGAGGTTGGGGTCTCACCTCGGGGCGCCTGTTGCTTGTTCAGAGCCCAGCTGGGCTCCCACGCTGTTTGCTTTCCCTGCAGATTCATGTGCTGTGTGTCCCTGACATTTTTGTGTGTGTGGTAACTTAAAGTGCTCTCCAAGTCATTTTCTGTTTCGCCTTATAGCAAGGGTGAATTAGGTGTGACAGGCACTGGACAGATTCAAAAACTAGACTCAAAGGAAAGCCCGAAGTCTCAGGCTGACCCGAGTCCTAGAGCTTGTTCTGATGGCTCATTTCAGGGTGTTTGCTCCAGAGGACGCTGCTGTCACTCGCCTACCTCCTGCTGAACTTGGGCGTGCATTGGCAAAGGTGGGTGGAAACGGACACAGTTGCAAGTGGGTTGACTCAGGCCACCTTTCCAGCCCTGTTGTCCAGGGTGCACCCACACAGCTACACCTGGGGGGAGTTTCCTGGGCCAGGCCTCTGAGAGACGTACCCCTTTCTCTGCCTGAAGGCCGTGAAGTAGCAGCTGAGCATCGCATTCAGCCGCCCTCCCAGTTAATGTGTGTTCATCAAGGACCTGTTCTATACTCAGACATGACTCGGGAATCTTAGCAGTGCTGCTAATCTAGAGGTGACTAGGCCACAGGTGACTGCTACAGTGCTTCCATTTCACTAGGGAAAGGATGCCAAGTACATGCAGGTGGACACCTCGGTGGCAATGAAGGTCAAAATGAGTGGTTCCCTAAGTAGGTTAAAAGAGGTAAGAAAAAAGACTGTGGGCTAGGAGAATCAGGAGGCTCCTGGAAGGAGGCATGAACTGGGAATAAAAAGGTGGGAAACAGTTAAAGAAGTGTCTACCCGAGCGGACAGCGTGGTTTGTGGGCATCTCTGGAGGAGTAAGGGCAGGGAGTGGCTATGATCAGGATCGGAGAATTGCTGAGCAGGGCTGAGACTGCGGTACCTGCTGGGGAGGCCTGGACAGGATGGGTTGCTAGACGTAGGGCCATTATCAGAGTATTGCCTGCGCTATTATTTGATATTTTAAAAAATTGATTCTCTTATTTTCTACTTAGTCTTTTCTTAAGCGCTTCTATTCATCATAGAATCGTGGGTTTTGTTGATGTAGTTAATCATTTTTCTTTGTTCATGTTAAAATAAACATGGTTCGAAAATAAAAAGGAAATCAATTCATCCCAGGTGCCTCTTAACGGCATTGGTGATATGGGGCCACACTTGGAAACACTGGGTAGAGCAGGAGCAAGTCTGGAAAACTGATTTAAAGCCAGGCCAAGGCAGTTATTCTTAGATAATGAGAAAGTATTTCAGGTGTGGTGACAGAGGGGGGTGCTTTAGAGAAATCTTCCTATAAGGAGAAGGAAGGATTTTGCTTCTGCTTGGAGCAGAATTCATTATGGCTCTGGCGTGTTTTCCTAAGAGTTGGAAATGATGGTATTCGGATTTCAGTGTGCAAAAGGCTCAGTGCAAGAATCAATAGGGGAGGATGATACAAGTGTGGATCCTCAGCCAGGAGTGGTGGCCTGTGTCACTAGTCTCAGTGCTGTGGGAGGCCGAGGCAGGAGGATCACAGCTTCAAGCCCGGCCTAGCTTGGACAGTTCAGCAATTCATCAAGACTCTGTCTCAAGACTTTTTTTAAAAGGCTGGAGATGTAGCTCAGTGTGAAGGTCCAAGGTTCTGTCTGTTACCAGGAAAAAAAAAAAAAAAAAGTACAGATGCTTTGGCCCCGCCTTCGGATCACACATTTCTGTGTATGTAAGTATCACAATGGGACGGTGTTACAAATGGAGGTCCTCTGTAACACCGGCCCTACCTTGTAATGTCCATTCTGTGCTTTGGGATAAATTCTGGGAATCTGCATTTTTAGTGGGGTATCCTTGGAACTTGGACCAGATCAGATCAGGCTTCCTTTAAGAAACCTCTGACAGAGGCGGGCTTCGGACAGTTAATGGCTCACGCTTCCATAATAGAAACGTCTTGAAATTCCATGGTGGCACTTCATTTTTTAACTTTTTTTGTGCAACTGAGGAGTAACACTGAGGAGTAGCCCTTCATACAGAGCTATGTCCTTAGCCCCTTCTTAGAGTTTGACACAGGGTCTTGCAAAGTCATGACATTGCCCAGGCTGGCTTCAGATTTATAATCCTGCTGCCTCAGTTTCCCAGAGTGTTGCACTTATAGGTGTGGGCCACTCCTGTACTGTGTTGGGTTCTATGTCTTAGAAGCTGAAAGAATGCCGGAAGCGGTGGCATTTGCTTGGGGAGCAGGGAGGTGGCTTCAAGCCAACTGGCCTCTTCACACACTGGATTCTCCTGTGTGCGACTGTCCATCCCAAAGACATCTTTGGAGTGCGTCACTCCCTGAATCCCTATGTCTGTGGAAGAGGCCTTGGTTTGTTTTTTATTACTGGGGAGTGAATGTGGGGCCTTCATGCTGAGCTACATTTCCAACACTTTTAAGTTTTTACCTATTTATTTATCTATTTTTGAGACAGGCTGTCACTAAGACCCTAAGTTCTCCAGGCTGGGTACAAACTTGGAATCCTGGCACCCCCAGAGTGCCGGCCTCCCCGGCATGTGCCACTACATCCTGCGAAGAGGTGTTTGTCATACAGCAGTAAGGACCCAAAGTTATCCCTAGAGAACTGGTTCCCCAGAACAGTGAACGCATAGCAGTGGGATCAGAATGTCACCTCTACCACGTATCACTGTGGGATCCATAGTGAGCTACTTAGCCTTTCTGAGTGCGGGGCTACCTACCTGTAACTGCTGGGTGTGGGGACTGGGTGAGTGCACTGAGCCAAGGTTGGCTTTAAGTAACTGCTCAGGGAACATTGGCAGTTGTCATTATTATACCCCTAAACCTAGCATGGAGCGGGCAGAAAGGGGGCTCTTCACCCAGCTGATTATTCGTTACAAAGAAGTCAGATTTTCATCCACCTCGGAATAGCTCTCTTGAGTGTGGCAGCTTTATTGGCAGGGGACAGAATGCTAGACATGCTTCTGGTTCATGGTGGCCAAGTAGCCTGTCAGAAAGGCTTCCCTGAGTTCCCTGTGTTAGTGCCTGCTGACTCTGTTGGTGACGGAGGCCTCTGCTTAATCGAGA